GTCCAGTGATCTGCCCACCTCAGCTTTTCAAAGTGCTGGGATTATAGGCGTGAGCCACCATGCCCAGCCTCAAGGAGATATTTGCACATCCATGTTCATAGCACCATTATTCACAATAGCAAAAAGGTGCGGGCAACCGGAGTGTCCATCCACAGATGAATGGATAAACAAAATGTGGTGTATTCTTACAACAGAATGCTATTCAACCTGAAGAAGGAAGACAATTCTGACACCTGCCACAACATGAACCTTGAGGGCATTATGCTAAGTAGAATAAGCCAGTCACACAAAGATAAATACTGTATGATTGCCCTTACACGAGGTATCTAGTGTAGTCAAATTCATAGAGACAGAAGGTAGATCAGTGGTTGCCAGTATCTGGGGTAATGGGGAATTATTGTTTAATGGGTACAGAGTTTCAGATTTGCAAGATGAAAGAGTTCTGGGGATGGACAGTGGTGACAGCTGCACAACAATGTGAATGTACTTAATGCCACTGAACTGTACAGTTAAAATGGTGATGATGGTTAATTTTATGTTACGTGTATTTTATCACAATTAAAAATATTTTTTACCGAGGTGGGTGGATCACCTGAGGTCAGGAGTTCAAGACCAGCCTGGCCAACACAGTGAAACCTGTCTCTACTAAAAATACAAAAATTAGCCAGGTGTGGTGGCGTATGTCTATAATCCCAGCTACTTGGGAGGCTGATGCAGGAGAATCGCTTAAACCCAGGAGGTGGAGGTTGCAGTGATCTGAGAGTGCCCCACTGCACTCCAGCCTGGGCAACAGAGCGAGACTCCGCCTTAAAAAAAAAAATGAAGTACAGACAGTACTGTAGAGGTCACGGAAATGGTTGAAAGCTATCATAAATGGCAAGGTGTGGTCCTTGCAGTCATCCCCAATATATGGTTTAGTACAGTGCCCTGTCAGTCTGATACAAATATTCAGTCTGCTCAGTGAGTACCTTCCAGATGTGGACATGGGTACAACAGAGCCTAATGAATTAAATATTTGCTCTGATTGTATACTCACCAAGTCTATTTTGAGTAACTCAGCAAGTCCTATGTCACTTGCATTTTTGGAGAGAATACACTAGCCAGGTTGACATGAATATGCAGACTACTACACACTTATATATCTCACTGTAAATGAACAAACTGCTATTTGCAACATTAAGATCTTATGAGCTTATTATTTTGGGTTGATGTCACCCAGTTGGATTAACTCTGGGATGCTGATAGAACTGGGATTCTCAGGCTGGAAGGCCAAGGCCCGGCTTTTGCCTTATAGTGAATTCCCATGGGAAATGACATCTCTACTATCTCTTGGAAGACGGCGGTTAGCATGCCAACCACAACACTGGCCTTTCTTTGGAAACTTCTACACTCCCTGAAGACATGTTTTGTAAACACAAGATTCTGCAAACATAAATTGAAACCACATACAAATAATTTCTACCAAGTCAAAGGGAAGGGCGCCTTCTCAAGATTCAGAAAAAGCAAACTAGATTTTTAAAACTTTTCTACTGGAAAATACAGCACACAAGTGAACATACAATATCAATGCTCAGAATATGGATAATCACAAAATGCACACTAGTGTAACAACTAACCACCACCATTCAGAAATGACCAGCACCCACAAATACTTCTGCATGTCTCTTTCAGACGCATCTTCCTCCCCTCCACCCTGGAGGTAATCACTATTCTAATTTTTATGGTAACTGTTTCCTTGCTTTTCCTTAAACTTTTGTCACCTAAGCTGGATCCTTTAAAAATATAGTTTCTTTTTTCTTTCTTTTTTGGAGATAGGGTCTCCCTCTGTCACCCAGGCTGGAGTGCAAAGATGCGATCTGGACTTACTGCAGTCTCAACCTCCCGGGTTCAAGTGATCCTCCTGTCTCAGCCTCCGCAGTAGCTGGGACTACAGGCATACACCACCATGCCTGGCTAATTTTTTTTTTCTTTTGAAACAGGGTCTCACTCTGTTGCCCAGGCTAAAGTGCAGTGGCACAAGCTTGGCTCACTGCAACCTCCGCCTCCAGGGTTCAAGTGATTCTCTCTGCTTGGCCTCCCGAATAGCTGGGACTACAGGCACACACCACTATGCCCGGCTAATTTTTGTATTTTTTGGTAGTGACGGGGCTTCCCCATGTTGGCTAGGCTGGTCTTGAACTCTTGACCTCAAGTGATCCTCCCACCTCGGTCTCCCAAAGTGCTGGGATTACAGATGTAAGCCACCACACCTGGCCCAGACTTTCCTTCTTTTTGATGACCTTTGAGGAGCAGTGGTCAGATATTTTGTAGAATGGCCTTCTATTGGCATTTGTCTGATGTTTTTCTCATTATTAGACTGGGGTTATGGGTTTGCGGGAGGAAGATCATAGAGGTGAAGTGCCTGTCATTATCACTGTATCACATCAAGGGCACACACTGTCAACATGACCGATCACTGTTGGTGTTGACCTTGGTGACCTAGCCTAGGTAGTATTTGTTGGGTTTCCAAACTGTAAAGCTGCTCTTCCCTCCCCCACACCTTTCCATACTGTATATAGTACCTTTTGAAGAACAGAAATTCTTAATTTTTACTGAGTGGAGGCTGCATGGTCTGGGAGAGGGGCACGATCTTCGCCTCCACAGGGATCCCAGATAGGATGTCTGGTTTGCAGAGATCAACTCATGTCACCGAGCTCACTCTGGGATCACTCAGAATTTATGGCTGGACTTAACTGGGGGGTGAAGGCGGGACTTAGGGAAGCAACTGGAATTATATATTCTTTCAAATCATGCATCTGGATCTTTAGCTCTGAAACCCAAGAGACAAGAATTTGACATTTGTTTTCTGGTTCTCCTGAGAATCTTCCCCTCAGGGCAAAGGATGGCTGGAGTCCTGACTATTTGACCTGGGGGGAGGGAGGAGAAAGGCTTGTTTTTGGCTAACAAATGGGGTCATAACTTCAAATATTGTATTACCCTGCCACACATATATCCATCTCTAAATGCTTCAGTGGAAAAGTTAACCATACATCAGCAGTTGTTTACTGAGCACTGAAGATTGAATCAGCAAAGCTGCATTCACGAAGCAGAACTGCTGACGATTCAGAATGTGACCTTGAATACACATGCCCTTTCCTAGGCTTCAATCTCTCAATCTATGAAACAAGGAGAGGGCTTCTGACAATGTTTATCTTGCTAAATTCCAAGGCTCTAAGGAACAGCAATGCCCCTTTGCGACCTCAGGTGAAAAGGGCCCTTAGATGTAAAGAATAAGCTATTCACTTTTAGCTCAAAAAGGGATGTTATTTCTCAAGACATAAATGGAGTGTGAAAGATTGTGAGGTTTTCTGGGGGAATGGGGGGGGTGGGGATTAATTGTATATTCAAGTCTATTTAGAAAATTTTTGGTCTTCCTCAAATTCAAAAAAATAAGAATGTACTAGAACTATTTTAAGAGCAGAAACATTCACTCCTTTCCTTGTTTCCTTAGGCTAGATGAAACGGTAGGCAGTCTTCTCCACTTTAGCTGACTATGTCTCTAAATAAGGTTTAGATAAGCTCTTGCAGGGCCTGTGATTCAAAACCTGTTCTAAGACATGCAGGAAGATGGACAAAGAATGAAATCTTAGTTGGTGTGAAGAGATTGTGAATTTATCATGCTTAAAAATGAATATTTAAAACTGATTAATTTTTTTTCGGCTGGGTGCGGTGGCTCCCGCCTGTAATCCCAGCACTTCGGGAGGCTAAGGCAGGTGGATCGCCTGAGGCCAGGAGTTAGAGACCAGCCTGGCCAACAATATGAAACCCCCGTCTCTATCAAAAATACAAAAATTAGCTGGGCATGGTGCCGCATGCCTGTAATCCCAGCTACTTGGGAAACTGAGGCAGGAGAATCGCTTGAACCCAGGATTCGGAGGTTGCAGTGAGCCGAGATCACGCCACTGCACTCCAGCCTGGGCAACAAGAGGGAAACTCCATGTCAACAACAACAAAAAATGATTAATTTTTTTCAAGTCAGTCACATTAGAGTAGAGGTTTTGGAAATTAGGTGCTTTAGACATTTTGGTTCTAATAATTTCACATGCCTAGTGGAAAAATATCTCTTCTCCCTTTCAGAGTTCTCTAAAGTCCCATTTGTACAAATTCTACTCTAGAGGAAAAGCAAGTCTGAGAGTTTCCTGTTTCTTGATGTTGGGTGAGGATATCGACTCTATTCCCTAAACTGAGAGTGGCTTTGGTAGGCATAATGTGTTCTAGAAAGTTCAAACTATTTAGGGAGTGTTTTTCTTTTTTAGCTTTCTTTCTTTTTTAATAAAGAGACAGGGCCTTGCTATGTTATCCAAGCTGGATTTCAACTCCTGCTGTCAAAGGATCTTCCCTCCTTTGTCTCTCAAAGTGCTGGGATTACAGGCGTGAGCCACCACACCTGGCCTCGAGAGTGTCTTTCTGATTCAGTTTTCAGTTGGGCAAGGTTTTCCTAGAGTGGGTCTGCTATCTGGGGAACTCTTGGGGTCACTGCTTTTAACTCACTCTCATTTTTTTCACCCTCAGGAAACTCCAAGAAGAAAATGGAGACTGGGAACTGAAGAAACAGTAAGGCATTTCCCCCCTCCCCCGCCCCAATAACTCTGTCTTACATTTGTGCACTAAACCATGCTCAAATGCCTTCAATGGCTTAGTGTAGGTCTCTTATGTACAATTTAAGATCCTCGATAAATATGTCCCTAACTGAAAGTTTTAGCTCTGTGCCTCCTCTCTTATATGATCTCTTCTTTGATCAAACTGATGCACACTTGATGGGCCTTTCTCCCTTCCTTACCTACAGTTTTCACTGGAACAACCTCCCTATCTCCTACCCTTGGATATGAAACTATTTCCACCTTTCAAGGTCATCAGCTGGGGTGTCATTTTCTACCTGCAGACGCTATAGTGTGTCCCTTCTTGCCTCACATTATAGGCAAAAGACTATGAACTGCGGGAGGCAAGGATTCTAATCTAATTACTATGTCTAGCCTTCATACATCCCCATAGAACACCTTGCCCAGATTGGAAACTGAGTGAATGGGAAAATTAAGTTATTAATTAACTTTCTGTCCCATAACTCCTTGTACATCGTTAAGTCTTTGGAGGTAGAATTGCCAGATTTAGCGAATCAAAATATAGGATACCCAGTTATATTTGAATTTCAGATAACCAG